CACACGGAAAAATAAAGCGCATTAGGACGGGATTTAGTGTGGATTCTGCCTGCTTTGGACCCTGTGTGATAACGTCCCATGTTGAACCAGCTCCCCGCAGCAATATGTCAAAGGTTCAAGAGTATTCTAAAATGCGTTTCCCCACTTTAACTATGTCAACTTGTTGTATGCCGCCTCGATTGCTCTGCAGAGGGTTGTGATATTAATAATAATAATAATAATAATAATAATAATAATAATAATAATAACTTCCCAACTCTAGAAACACTCCATAGTTTATCACACGGGAGGAAATTGATAGTTTAAACAGTGATTAACCTGTCAAAATCACGCAATCGAGATTAAAACACAATTAACATTTTCACACACAAGAGCCATTATCCCAGGAATAAACAGGAGTAACCAGGCAATAAACAGCAAAAAATCATTCATGGGAAAATCCCGTGAATGATTTGTTGCTGTTTATTGCCTGGTTATTCACGGGATAATGGCATTTGAATTGTTTTTCACCGCGATGTCATATGAAAACCATTAGCGCAATGGCACGATTATCACTGGATATTCCGAGGATAATCGCACTTTGCATGCAACGTCATCTGAAAATGTTAATTGCGAATGCGCGATTTTGACGGGTTAATCACCGTTTATACTTTCAATTGTCCCCATGTGATTAACTCAATACTCCCTACTAAGTAGAGTAGGCCCTTGGTATCCACTGGGGTTTGGTCCCAGGATCCACTATGGATACCAAAATCTGTGGATCTTCAAATCTCATTATATACAGTGGTGTAGTAAAATATTGTCTCTCATATCAAATGGCAAAATCAAGGTTTGCTTTTTGGAATTTTTTTAAAATTGTTTTCAAGCTGTGGATGGTTGAATCTGGGGATGTAAAATCCTGGGATACGGTGGACCAACTATAACCAGTCTAAGGGTGCGCCTAAATGCAGTTTAACACCACTTTAACTGCCATGGCTCCATCCTACAAAATCCTATAGTTTTGTGAGACAGCAACAGGCAGAGAAGGGTAAAGACCCTGTAAAAATACAAATCCTAGGATTCCATAGGACGGAGCTATAGAACTTAAAGTGGTGTTAAACTGCCTTATTTCTACAGTGTAGACACACCCTAGAACGCCACTGAATCCCATTCCACCTCCATCATCTTCATCATCATCATCACCACCACCACCATATTCTGGTTTGCCTTTCAGTCCCTCACTTGTCTGGATAAAATTATATTGGAAAAGAGGCTGGAAAAGACTTTGCCCAAGACCTCGGAAAGCCTGACTGACTAGTGTGACAGCCCATAACTCCCTTCGCATGTGAATTCCATGGAGGGAGCATCCTGGATTTACAAGGGATTGCAGATGACAGATGCACATGTGACGTGTGTGGACATCTTCATGTCATGTTCATGTCATGCTAATGGGCTTCCAATGGCCAAGTAGAGATTGGAACCCTGGTCTCCCAGAGTGCCAGTCCAACACTGAAACCACTACACCATGCTTTGTTGTTGTTGTTGTTGTTGTTGTTGTTGTTATCTGCTGTTAAGTCAACCTTGACTTATGGTGACCCCATGAATGAGAGACCTCCAAATAACCCTGTCATCAATGGCCCTGCTCAGGTCTTGTAGACTCAAGGCCATGGCTTCCTTGATAGAGTCTGACCATCTATGATATGGTCTTCCTTTTTTTCTTCCTACCTTCTATCTTCCCAAGCATTAGTGTCTTTTCTAGTGAATCATATCTTGTCGTGATATGGCCAAGGTATGGCAGTCTCTGTTTAGTCATTATGGCTTCTAAGGAGAGTTCAGGCTTGATTTTGCTCCATGACCCATTTATTTGTCTTCGTAGTCACCAGTGACACATCTCAAATAAGTTGATTCGCTTCCTATAAACTTTCTTCAGTGTCCACCGTTCACAACGATACACAGAAATGGGGAATAGATTGGCAGGGACAATCCTGACTTCAGTATTCAATGATATAGCTTGAACTTCAGGATCTTGTCTAGTTCCTTCATAGTTGCCCTTCCAAGTCCTTGTCTTCTTCTGATTTCTTCACTGCAGTCTCTATTTTGATTAATGACTGATCCACAATATGGAAGATCTTGAACTATTTCAATGTCTTCATCATTTGTTTTAAGGTTATGTAAACCATCTCCGGTCATTATTTTTGTTTTTTTAATGTTCAACTGTAAACCTGCCTTTGCACTTTTTTCCTTGACATTCTTCAGGAATCGTTCCAAGCCGTTGCTATTTCCTATAGATCAAAAGAGATACAATCCCTATGTACATACATCACGGAGACAGAGGACGTTATCACACAGGGCCTAAAGCAGAAAGAATCCAGCATCATCCCCGTCCCATTCCGGTTCTTTTTCCCGTGTGTTCACACAACGTCGCACAGAACCCCGCTATCCCCGAATCATCCCCGTCCCATTGCGGCATCATTCCCGTTCTTTTGAATTCCGGGTATCTTGAGGAATTGCATCGCGCGGCTGGAATAATGCCGCAATGATGCTGCTTGCACCGTATGTCTGAGCACGAGATGCGTATCATGGAGCATTTCCCCGTCATGGCCAATGGTTCCCCGCGCTATTTTCCATGGATCTGTGAGGAAGAAGGAAGTGACGAAAATCACATCCGATGGACGCGGCAAGCATTCTTGTTTCTGAGCATGTGCAAGAACATCCTTGCCGGGTTGTGGAAGGGATCTTCCCACTTGTGTGTGAACAGCAGATACGGGTCCCCGGAGTGTATCTATCGCGGTTTCGTCAATTCTGCAATGATGCCAGTTGCGTCTGATAACGATTTCCGTCTTGCCGGGTCCATTCCGGTATGGTTCTGGATTGATTCCATTCTGCTTTCTTGCCGCTTTCTTGCCGCTTTGAGACCCGCGTGTGATAACGTCCAGAGTGTAAGTTTACACATCCAGAGTTAGGTAAAGACTGTGCATTATTGAATTGAAATACTGAGCAACTGAATGTTCAAACAACTGTGAAAATGTAAGATTGCAAAATGCAATGCACACCGGCATGTGCACAGTGGCACGACATGCACAATGGCATTTCATGTGCTGCTCTGCTTTTCACAACCTTCAACTGATATGAACTTCCACATTGGACAAAAATGTCCAGGCACTTCTGGTAAATCACTAATATATAAATTACTAATAGGATTCCAGCCTAGATTAAAATGTATAAAGGAGCATCATACAATTATAACTAATGTACTCCTGGTTGAGAACTGCTGGTCTGTACTCTGGCTTAAATCCTGAGAACCACAGAGCTTTCAGAACAAAATAATGAAAATAAAA